GGCTAGAACATCTATAGTTCTAAGCCTAAATTGGCAACTTATGGATCATTCTTTGTAGGGCCTCTAGAAGAACCATACCACTTCAGCTGGATGAAGGGGAATGTATCCACCCAATTCAGTCCCAGTTGGAAACCCCAAACCTCCAAAACCGCTACAGCTCAAGATCGCAGACCTCAATCCCACAAATTTAGGTGTTTCCGAAATTTGTTTCTTTGGGGGAATCCCTGCAACAAGGTGTATGTGTTCTACTGGGATATATATAAATTAATATACATATACATATAGACATATACCTATATTTATATATATATATGTATATAGGCGCCCTGAAGGCCTGCTCCAACGCATCCGACTTCCGCTGTGCGGACAGCCTATGGGCTTGGGAAGCCACGCATTTTCCAAAGGGCGTCTAACAAGGATAATGGAAAAGAAAAATGGAAACTACGATTTACTTGTTTTGCGGGTGTGTGTCTTTGGGGTTTGGGGTTTGTAGGGAATGAGGGAATATGTTATATACGGATTATATCCCCTTATTCGCTACTAAGCACCATTCAGGTTAGGTTAAGGAGCAAGGTTTGGACCACTTAGGATGCAAGGTCGAGGCTTGTGGTTTAAGGTCTATACCGGTGAACGGTTAAAGCTTGAAAAGCGCTCTCTGAGTACGTAGATTCTAGGGTCTAGGGTTGTAAAGCCCAAGCAGCAAGTCCTAAACTATGAAGCCCCTGCCCTAATGTTAAAACCCCCTACGCCCCTAACGTTTAATGTTTGTGGTGGGGTAATACATGGTAGCTTCCCTAAATTGGGGGACCTCAATCTAGACCCCAAAGTCCGACAGTCCCTATTATGGGGACCCCTGAAACACTAATTTGGAGAGAACCCCCGTATTGGAAGTATGCTACATCAGAGGGTGGAGAGCGAGTATCAACCTTAGAATCGGACTCTGCCCTGGCGAGTCGGATCTCCTCCCTGTGTAGGAGGTGGGCCGCCTGGCTACTTGCAGCCAAGGCTACAAGCGAGTTTTGGAGTTGGGGTGTTGGGGCACAATTTTCGTCGTTTATGGGTCTTTGGGGTTTGACAGCGTGGGGTTGGCAATGCAGGGCCGGGCTTCTCTCCATGGGACGAATGAAAAGACGACGGGGATGTAAGCATGCCTTAGCATCATGGTACACACGTGCTACCTGCCACAACAATGCCCATCATATTGCGGCGAGGATGGGAAGGGGTTCCATCCCTTTCTCCCTGCGAGGTCTCAAGCACCCCTGGTTGAATAGCTGCCGCACAACACCGAAATCTTCGAATCTTAGCTGCCAAGGCCTCAACACAAGCACATTGAGCAGCACTTTTCGCCGCGGAGATGTGGATGATGCAGGGACTATACCGGCACCGCCATTGTAGTGTATGGGATACAGGTTGCTGGTTGCATTTTTCGGTTCAGAACCCTGCAACGCTTACACCCCCGTGTGAGCATCTCCGCCAGAAATATAGAGGCCGCAGAAGGTAGCAAATAATGTTATAGGAACAACAAGAATACGAACAGTAACGATAAAAATCATCAGATCAATGATCCAATACGGCGACGCCTTTTTAACATCCGGACACGTAAACAACTGAACAGGTACATTATACTACCTCTGCAAAGCATGGCGTCCGGCCGCCCACGATTAAAACATCCGGAATTGAATCTAAACAGGAAAACATCCGGATTTAAATACATCTTTTATACTACCTCCGTGGCACGTTGGGGTTGGCCGCCCCCCGCTTATTCAAAAAATGTCACCGTAACAATAACGGGGGGGTTCCTAAAATCAGGGTTACCTCTTTGGGGGGGTCCCCATAACAAGGATTGTGGTATTTTGGGGTCAATATTGGGGTCCCCCTATTAACGGAAACTACGTACCAATATCAACGGAAAATAATGAGGCCACACCGTTTGCTGGCTGGGGTTGGGGTTTTGGCGTGTCTCGAAAAGTCCCCGAGCGCGATCGCAATTACAAGTTAAATGCTCAACTCTACTCCACATCCAAGTCAAATATGTTAATGATGGTGAGAATTGGGGTTACTAAATGGCCTATAGGGGTATAAATATACTTACTAAATAATGGGGACAATCGGGGGTATGATGACTATGACTAAGCCCCCACGACCCTCCAAGTAGGCCAGCGCTCTAGGCGATGCATTTTGCAAGGAAGCCCCTGGACTCTGGCAAGGAAGCCCCTGGACTCTGTAGCCCAAACACAATACATCACAAAACTCTCAACCCTATAGTCCCCCTCAAATAGATAGAATATGGGGTGCATGAGGATCTTATGATAATATACCCAAAGCCATATTCTATCTACTCAAGGGGGACTATAAACCCTAAGGCCTCAACTTCCTGGTGTAGTTCCAGTCGCAGCTGATTCAGAGTCTCTTCGTGCGCCTGGTGTTGGCAAATGGTGGCTCTCGCGGAGGAACAAAGGTTTAGGGGCCATGCACCATAACAGGGTTTAGGCTTTGGGGGCCATAAAATTGGGCCCATCCTAAACCCTAAACCCTAGATAATGGCAACTTAGGATTAATAATCCCCCCTTGATTAAAGCCCATTTTCCGGGATGCAGAACCTAGGAAAATGCAGGGGAAAGATGAATTTAAAAGGGGGACAGCGACCCCCTGCAATAGAGGCCTCAGACCTTGCCAAAAACCCCCCAGATTAAAGCCCATCTGCGCCTCGGGCCTAAAAAAATGCAAAAGGGATGTGTTCGCTGTATAATGAATTTATATTCCCCAGCAGGCAATCGGAAAGCTGCATTGCAGGCGTTTATCGCTCAAGCAAGGAAACGGTGGCTTCTGGCGGAAGGCAGCTACCGAATGCAAGCGCAGCGACACATCAGACAGCCGAAAGCTTGGAACTTCTCAGACAGTTGATGCCTCACTTGAACAGGCAGTTATCAGTGGCCTAATTTAATTATGAGTGTCTGAAAGAGTCATCGATATCGAAACTTTCGGCTGCTGAGCACACATCTTCAGACGAAGGTCTTTGACAAGCCGGGCGACTGCCGCCTTCTATTCTTAATTAGGGCCTTGGGGCCAAAAAATCCAATAATTAGCTAAGAAGTTTTTCCAGCCGCCCAGCTACCGCAAGGAAGCCCGTTTGAGCTCAGACGCCTGCAACCGAACCACAAGTAATTATTAATTACCTAATTAATTACAAGGCGTTCAGGGGCCTTTGAAGCTGGAACTCACGATATCACCACTCGTCAGGCATTGGTCTGCCTTGCTTTTGTGCTTCACGCTTCAGGTGGTAGCGCTGGCACTTCCAGACTACACACCTCAGACAGCCGGACCTCCACCTGCAAGACCCACAAATCATCGACCCCCTCAACTGCACCTTCTGGATATCATCCAAAGCTTCTTGGCTCAGGTCCGCCAGTCCCACCGGCCCTCCCTCAGTCACCAGCCTGAGGGCTTGTGCCTCCAGCTCACGCAGTTCTTGACCAGCCGCGATCTTCGCCTGAAACAGAAACAACTGAAAGTGAGAGGCTGGTCGTAACACCCTGAGCCTGCCTCTGCAAGTTCAGCCAGCTTGATTCTTTGGGCTTTCGCTTCTTCGCCGGCCTGGAATATGGGCAGATATGGGGCTTTTATGAACGCTTTATCAAGCAACTTCTCATTGACCGGCCTTGAGGATTGCAACAAGCTCTTTCTGCAGTTCCTCTTCGAACTTGCTTTTCTCAGCCAGCAGCTGCAGACTGATTTTCCTCAATCTTTCGTGCCATTGAACCACGGCGCTTGGAGGCCATTCTGGAGCACAGGGCCCGTAGCCGACGGTATCAGCTGCCTCAGACTCCATCCAAGACAGCACGTACAAGCCACAGCTGACTTTGCCCGGCATCTGTCTGACTCTCAGGTTGTGCCTGGCCAAGGGAAGCCACTGCATTGCACCATCATGCAGCAAGGACACCAAAAGTTGCTCAGCCTTCGCTCGTGTGGGCTGATGCAGCTCAGTCAACGAGTCAAAGTGTTTGACACGTACACCTGCTGCTCGCTTGTCCATGCACAAGAGCGTCCAGTGGCTGTCTGCGTAGATGGGAAACAGAAAAAGCTTGTCGGTGCTGAGAAGTCGCTGCAGCTCAGTCACCACATGGCCGTGTTCATGGTCAGCCTCGTATTCTTGGTGCTGCAAGAAAAAATGCGTCAAGAGAGGACTGATGCCCACAACAGAATCATCGCAGCCCAAAGCCCACCGTATGGCTTCCCAACCCATGACCATGGTTTGGTCTCGCAAACCACCACGTGGCAGGTTGTCAGCCTGCACAATCTCCACTGTCTCCACCTCTTCATCTCCATCGATCTCCAGCTTGAGGCACCCCATGTTGAGCAGCATCTCTCGCTTCCTCTCCCGAGCAACACTGAACTGCTTCCGCTTCCACACTTTTTTGTGCTCGCCAGCAGACAGCAGGTGTAGAGAATTCTCGGCACCCACTGGGCCTTCTTCTGCTTGAGCGGCAAAAGCAGCGCATCAGTCGCTGTGGCTTTCTGCAAGCTGCCTGTCAGGCCGTAGCAAGCCTCGCCCAGCACATCAGTCACCACTCGGAAAATTCCTGACGGAGGAGCCTCCTCAGGCAAAGCCACAAGCGCAGACATCGGAGCGTCTGGCAATGGCGCAGACATCGGAGCGTCAGGCAATGGCACAGGTGCCGGCGTCTTAGCCACCTTCAGACGACGAACCTGTTGGTTCAACCGTTTCTTCTTTTCAGACAGCTTCTGGCTTTTGGCGAACGAAAGCTTCTTTTTCTTTTTGGCCTGATTGCCCTTGCCTGCTTGGGGGACTATAGCTTTCAGCACTTCCTTTCGCGAAGTCTTTTGCAGGGCTTCTCGTACTCGCTCCTTGTCCTCCACGTTCATCCAGCTTTTTCTTTTCATCGCGCCGGCTTTTGGATTTGCGAGCCTCGACTGACTTCTGAACCACTTTGAATTCATGGAATAAGTAATTGATTAAATTGTGCAATTAAGGATGAGAATTAATTAATTGACAGGGAGTAATTAACAGACAGCCAAGGAGCTCTTTCAGACTGCAACTCCTTGTTGGCCTTCAGCCAGCGTGAGCGGCGCAGGTCCAAGGACAGTTGGAAGCCGGCCAGCTGGCTCCACTCAGGCTCTTCCAGCTCCTTGTCGTCAATCGGTAGGACGAGGTCTGTCCTGTCCTTGTCAGAATTGTCAACGAAGTCCCACTCTATGAGGTCTGCCAGCTCAGCCGCACCCTCGAGCCTGCTCCAATCAGGCGGCTGGATTTCTGTCGGCCCTTTCCTTGGTTGATGGCCCGAAACCACAAATGTTGGTATGAAGGTCCTTTAGGGTTTAGGGCTTGGACTTTAGAGTGTAGGCTTCGACGTTTCGATCCAGGCTCGTTGTAAGTTGTAAGGTTTACCCTGCAGGGTTGAAGGTTCAGGGCTTAGGGCTTAAAAGCCCTAAAACCTAACCCTTACAGGCGTCTAGTTATGGGGGTCACAGTCTGGGCCTTGACTACCTCGAGCTGGGGGCCATGGTACTTTGAGAAAATTGAGAGAAGACCTCCAAAATCCAGGTTTAGGGCTTAGGGCTTCGGTTTTCCTACCTAAGCTCCAGCACCCTGAAACCAACAAAATGACCTTTACATCAAAGACTCAACCCTGACCCTTAGTTGCCTCACCCTTGCAATCAATACTTATAAGTTGGGGACTGAGGGCAGCCAAGAATCCAGTGGGTCAGGCAGTTGATCAGCCAAGCACTGCTTATACGGCTGGAGCCAAGCGGAAGGTCTCTTGCCCAGCACTGCTCGTCACTCCGGACAAATCCACCTGGCATGGGTCGCAAAGCCAAAAACCCGTTTCGCCGGCAAGCTGCCAACACCCAGCCGTCTCGCTTGTTCTTCTCCTGAAGAATTTTCTGAGCAGTCACGATCGCAGTGAGCATGTCCTCAGCTGACGGTCTCCAGACAGTTGAGCCATCAGTCTGCTTCTGCCCATGGTAGCGGAGGTTGTCCATGCACTTCAGGCACTCCTTCTTGAAAAGGGAACTGAAATCCGTATCAGTCACTTGCAACTGCGAAGTCATTTTCGCGGCCACGACACCTTGCAGTTGGTGGGCTGCGAATCGCGCCCTGTCAGCCTCCGGTGTAAAGGCACTGCTCAGGCAGTCCCGGATCCAGTACGAAGATGCATACGTCTCAGCCGATTTGGTGATACACCAACACATTAATGTTGGGTCCCGATTAGTGTGGGGTTCCCTAATTGTGCGAAGTTTCGCCATCCTTATTCAGCACCCCCAAGTTCGTTTGGGGGTGCTGAATTGTGCGAAGTTGCGCCGCCAAATAAAAAATCTGAGATAAGTAGGTAGAATAAATAAATCAACCTAATTTGCTTTG